CCCACTGAGCGCGTCGATGACCAGCGCTAGTAGCGTAGCCTTGCGTAGGCGCAGTTTGTGCTACGCTATCTACGCTAGCCATACTGAACTGCGCCTGCGCAAGGCTACGCTACTAGCGCTGGTCATCGACGCGCTCAGCGGGCCATGGTAAAATTATCAAAGGCTGACTGGTCCGCGGCGATAAAAAGATTGGGGACCACTGCTATATAGAACATGATAAAACTACATGGATAGATTAATGAATTCACCAGTAGTGAAGCTCAAATGAAAGAACATGACTTTTTGGCAAACTCAGAAAGTTTGTCAATTCTTAGCAATGGGCAGCAATAAAAATCAAAAAGAGATAATAATAGGTTGAAACAATAGCAGTGATTAAATAAAATAATTGCTCAGTATAGGAAGATTTAAACAAGAACCTCCATTGTTAAGAACTAAGCTTTTCCAGCAGTTCCAAAATATGCTTCTTTTCATATGATTACTGCATTTTCAGCCAGAAAATATACATTCTCTTCAGAAACAATACCATTTGTTTTATAGACTCTTTCTAGTTGGATTTAAATATTTTGAACTAGGAGGGCTCAGTTATTTACTGAGTGACATACTGGGTATATCTCCTTCTCTCTCCAAGAATAATGTTATGTAAATTATATCTTTACTGCACACCCAACCAATTAAGGTTACTGAGAACTTAGTGCCTTTGAATCAGTGGAGCAAGTTAATAGAGAATAGCTTAACATTTTTTTGTTTCAGTTGAATTTTATTGATGATGCTAGGTTGGGGTATACCAATTTATATTGGTTACAAGTATTTCAAATCAAGATTCCCTTGCTTGGTCAACGGTTTTTCAGAAGATATAACACATCTGGTAATCACCACATAAGATTTTTTCAGATCAATCCCCTTATCACCCACACAAAAATCTGCCAGGGCATTTTTATCATTCCCTGAAAACTCCTTTTTCCTTTTTTTTTTTTTTTGGTCTATCTGACTTAAATCCATTTTCTAGAATTTCTCAAGCTATTTCATAAAAGTGTGATCAGACAATTGAATTCTTTTAATTTTTTTAGGATGCAGTTCATTCTGGAGATTTACATTCATTTGAAGTATATAGGTATTGCAGATTATTTTTCTGTCACTGTTAAGGATCAGTCCTGCCCCTTTACTCTTCTTTTAACAATTTAATAGTATTATTTTCTTCAACAAGAATATCCAACAAATATCCAACAAATTGTAGGCAGTCCTGATTTTGAAAGTAGTAGCTGTGATGGTAGAAGAATTTCCATTTGGCTAAATAGGGCATTCTGAAATGGATGTAACCTTCCAGGTTCTTGGGAGATGTGAATGGACATTTTATCTGGCTAATTGCAGTCATTTGGATTATACACTGATCTTAAAGTGCACCTGATTGGTATCTTTTTGTTTGCTTCTTCACTTGATCAATTCTAAATTTTTAAAAGTGAAATAGTCTTTTAATGGTCTGAGGTATGATATAGTTAACCTTTAAACAGCTTGGAAGTTAACAAGGCTCAGTTCATATTCGGATTGGTATCTTTTGGGACTCCAAAGGCTGTTGGATAGACAAGAAAATCAACAGATGTCCCACAAAAGGCCAATATCAAGCTTCTTCTGTAATGCTACTAATAAATTGCACAGATATGTTCATGAAGTCTCCAAGAAGTCAGCATAAGTGGAGGGAGATTTTACTTATAAAATCTTTCATTATGAATTAAAACAAAAGAGTGAACATATTTATAACTAACTAGCTATTATAATGAAACATGCATTTACTGAAAAGTCTTCGAATATTATATTGAACAGAAGAAATGTATGATGTTAGAATTCGGCAAGTCAATCTTCAACAACCAAATTAAATACATTCTGTTTTTGAAAAGTTGAAAGAGGAGGGAAACTGCATCCAAATATTGGTGGAGGGGAATAGATTTACAAAAATGTAGATCCCGGTTGAGAGAGATAAGAGCTTAAAAACTGCTATTTTCATGCAGCTGCCCAGATACAGGTGATATAGTTAACTTTAAAATAGCTTGGAAGTTAGTTTTGGGGCAGTTGAGGTGAATATCACATCTTGCATTACATTCAAGATGAACTAACTTTTTCCTTTTTTCTTTTCTTCTGTCCAGGAGGTGAATTAGTTATCCCACTTCTTGTAGAAGACCCTTTAGATATCCCTCCTATTACTACTCGTGCACCTTTCATTACACTCCCCACTACCTTCCGTCCCCTCCTCACCATTATTGAGACCACCAAAGATTCCCTGTCCATGACCTCTGAGGCGGGGTTACCTTGCTTGTCGGACCAAGGCAGCGATGGTTGTGATGATGATGGCTTGGTGATATCTGGGTATGGCTCAGGGGAAACTTTTGACTCTAACCTACCCCCTACTGATGATGAAGATTTTTACACCACCTTCTCCTTGGTAACAGATAAAAGTCTTTCCACTTCAATCTTCGAAGGTGGCTACAAAGCACACGCACCCAAGTGGGAAGCCAAGGACTTTAGACCTAACAAAGTCTCCGAAACTGGTAGGACTACTATCACAGCTTTGTCCCCTGAGCTGATCCGCTCCACAGCTTCGTCCTCGACTGGGATGGTGCCCAAATTGCCAGCTGGCAACATGAATAACCGTGACCTCAAACCCCAGCCTGATATAGTCTTGCTTCCGTTGCCCACTGCCTATGAGCTAGACAGCACAAAACTGAAGAGCCCGCTAATAACTTCCCCCATGTTCCGTAATGTGCCCACAGCAAACCCCACGGAGCCAGGAATCAGACGGGTTCCGGGGGCCTCAGAGGTGGTCCGTGAGTCGAGCAGCACAACGGGAATGGTCGTCGGCATTGTAGCTGCTGCTGCCCTCTGCATCCTGATCCTCCTGTATGCCATGTACAAGTACAGGAACAGGGACGAAGGGTCCTATCAGGTGGATGAGACGCGTAACTACATCAGCAACTCAGCCCAGAGCAATGGCACGCTCATGAAGGAGAAGCAGCAGAGTTCAAAGAGCGGCCACAAGAAACAGAAAAACAAAGACAAAGAATATTATGTGTAAAAACAAAACAAAAAAATAATATTTATATATAAATATATAAATATTGAATGAGCTATAACTGAACCAAAACTGTTGCAGCCAACGAGATTGGGAGAAACCGTCTGCGGTTTAAGACCAATGTTGAGCATAAACATTTCAGTCGTTGACTGTTAAGTTTTCAAATCACTGCTTGGAGTCCCCAAACTCTGCCCTCCTGTATTATAAAGCACATATAGTGTTCAGAAGAAGGCCTCCCCAGCATATCCATGTTGGCAGACTTAAAAGCCTTCCGAGTTCCTCCTCAGCTGAACTGTTCTGCAAGGGCAGAAAACTTCACGGCTTACTTGTTTCGTATCTCCAAGTGAGTCTTTAATGATGTTCACAATCTTTGACTGTACTCTATTTTTTTTTCAGTTTATTATTTTAAAAAATAACAAAAAAAATAGAAAAAGAAAAAAAGTGGAAATGTTAGAAACAAAACAGAACAACTGATCTGGCCATGTCCAGTCTGAGTATCATTTTTCAAGATGTGAGGGGGAAAGAAATAGTAATACTACTAATAAAAAATGGTTTGGGGTTTTCATTATATTTTTTGTCTGAGTTTTTTTCATTTTCTGTGAGAGGTTTTGGGAGAATGAGCCAGGACATAAGTCAAGAAGAAATCTTGGGGAAAATATACTAAATAAAGACTGTTGCCATATATGAACTCAAGTTCTATCCACAGTGTTTGCTCTACATATCAGGTTGTGTTGTCTCTTGAATCTGTTGTCTGCAGTAAGTTGTTAACATAAAAAAGAAAGATGAGGAAGAGGCAGTGATGGTGATCATGCAGAAAATGATGGTCATTGAAAATTGGACAACCCCAGATACTGGCTCTAGTTATTTCTAAGTAAAGTCATAAGAGGATAACAGTTTCTTCTTTGACTAGAAGCCCCTAACCATGTCTGACTACCATTTGCTCAACTATGGGGCAAAAACAACAAAATCAAAATCAAACCAAAAGTAGTTATTTTCAATTGAGTAGTCCAAGCAAAAATAAGGGAGCCATTGTCTGGTTCTTTGGCTGAGGACACTGTATGAATGCAAAGAGTAGTGATCAACTGAATAAAGTGTTTAGAAAGATTATGGAGTTTGTCTTGTGACAAAACAACATGTCACACAAGCCAAAAAATGTCACAGAGGAATTCAAAATAGGGATTGTGCTTTTAAAAAAACAAAACCATGATGGTATGTTTCATATGTAACAATTTAATTTTGTAGATTGACATTTCTGATTCGCTGTCCTTCCATTTGCCCTATGCTCCCTATCCCTTGACTTTTATATGAAAGAAGATAAATTTAAAAAGTCCTTATGACACACAGAAAAAATAAAGGAGCTTATTAATAGTATAATATATATATAAATAAATAAATATAAATATATATATATATATACAGACACAGATATATTTATCATGGTATGTTTGATGGGATGACTGGAACAGAAATGCTGTTAAACTCTTAATATAGAATGAGACTGTTGTAAAGAAAAAATGTTTTTACAAAACAGCAAAAATCTAAACTTTAAAAATGTGAACAGAGTGTGCATTTTAATCTTGTCACAGTTACCTGTGTCAAAAAGAAAAACAATTTTCAGATAAGAATAATTTTTTGTTTACATATTTTACTACAATTTTTTTTGGCTGGTGTAATTTCTAGATGGGTACCCTAATGTACATAAAATGCTCTGAGATTTCATTGAGTTGTTGATTATATTCAGTGTACTTAATTGTCGGATTGTTTCTTTTCTTTCTTTTTTTAATCTCTTCCATTTTTTTAAAGAGCAACTTGCTGTACAGTAAAAAATAATCAACTGGTGTTTTCTGGCCACAAATATCATGTGCAAAAAATAACAATAATAAATAAAAGCAAACAAGAAAGACAGCAAGATTGATAGAAACAGGGAAAACACATAACTTAGAGGACTCTGGCAAATAAAAAAAATGTACAATTTTCCTGTGTACAGATGAAATCTAATCAGCTGTTTAGGTTTAGAAATCTACTCTTGCTGGTGTTTATAAGTCGCATGAATCTTTGAAGACGTGTTATCTAATGCACACACGCACATGGGAACAATAAAAAGAAGGCAGCCTTCTCATATGCTTTGAGAAGAGGCTTACCTGGCTAACAAATCTTTTTGGTGTGTGTGAGGTTTGTTTTGTTTTCTTTGGTTTAATTTTTAATTTTTTTTTACACTACAACAGAGAAAGAAAGAGAGAAAGAGAAAGAATGGTTTTTAAAAGATGTGAAAGAATGATTTTCAACAGCCTCACTGGCCAAACATATATGGAGTTGATTATATCTTGATGTCTGTAAAAGATTGCTGCTGTTCTTGGAGTCTTGTGAAATGATTTTCTGCTTTTTTCTTTTTCTTTAGGAAAACCCACTTTTTTTCTTTTCTTTCTGTTTGTTTGGGACAGATTTTGGGGAACATGTGCATTTCTGTCTGGACGCTTCTCTCATTTCACTATTATTTTCTGAACAGACCTGTGAAGATTTTTGTTAACGTTATTGTGCCGTTATCTCTCTTTTGTTTCCTTTCTTGTCTCCATCCTTTTCTTTTCCCCCAGTTCTTTTCTTTTCATAATTGCCTTTTTGTTCAAGAATATGCTTAGCAATAAAATGTTCTTCCCAAAGCCCTGTTGTTGCTGTGACTTTCTGTCCAAAGAGATAAGGGATTTTCCTTTTTCTTAAGAGATTTGGGTTATAAGAACACTTCAGCTAATTTAACAAGTTTGTTCTGCAAAAGAGCTTATGGGAGAAAAAGATGCAGGATTGTCACATTTTCAATCTCACAACAAACCTTAGAATAAATTAGTTAGTGAGTTTCCTGGGTTAACGACTTTAATTTTATCCTCTAAACCAGAGATCCCCAAACCCCAGACTGCGGCCCACCACCGGGCCAAAGCCTATTTGGAACTGGGTCTCGCAAGCGGGAAGTCCATATGCACACATACGAATGAGCTTGATTTGCGCAAGCGGTAGGCCAGAACTCATGCACATGCGTGCACAGCTCAACTTGTGTAAGTTGAGCTGCATGCACATGCGTGTTGGTACCAGTCTTCTGATCATGTTGAGGTTGAGCAGCAGGGACACATGCATACTGGGCCAGTTCTCCCCTTCCTTCCTGGGCCGCTAAGGTACAAAGGTTGGGGATCATTGCTCTAAACCAATGCATCACACTTTTACTCATATTGTTGGGTTATGAACAATATCTGGTTCTCAGATACTAATTTACTACTATTTGATAAAAACTAGGAGGTTTTGTTAATTTGCTCATTTATTGATTGTTTGGATGTGCAAATTTATCAATCAGTTTTCTAAGCATCATTAAAAAAAATCCACAGAATAAAAATCCATAAGATATTTAAACTCCAGTTAAAAAAAAAACCAAAGACAGAAAGAAAAAGAAAAATCAGCACAATAAAAGTAGTCTTTTTAAAAACTAATTTATCAAATTTAGGTACCGCCCTATCTCATTCTTAGAATTTAAAGAAAATGTTGATAAAATATAAGAATACATGATATAATATTGATGCAATGCATCTATCCATCCATCCTAAAAAAGAAAGCTGTTTAACTGATTACAAGAACAGAGACTTTAAAAACCTCTATATTGAAGGCTTAGTATTGAAAGCAAATTGAAAAACCATACACTTAAAGAAAATATACAGTACATGTGAAGATCCTGAAAATGATTTTGGGATAAATGGAAGGATGGTGCCATGTTCCTAATCTGTTACTTTTTTTATAGCCCTTTGAATCAAGGCAGATAAGGCCAAGCCAGCAGTCTTGATAACATTGCCAAAATCATCATTCTATGCCAGTTGTTGTCAACTCTGTTTTGGGCCATTCTAGGAATGACCAAAATAGTCATCAAAAGATCAGGAAGTGCTGCAACCAATATCCAGAAAGGAGGAATGTGGATTACCAGCCTAAATTGGTAAAAGCCTCATCAGCCTTTTTCAGCTGATCAATGACTGTGATTGAGTTTTCAAAGTTATTTTCAAAGAGGTGAAATTGATTCTTCATTGGAATGCAATGCCGTTGCTTCAGAAATAATTTGAATGCTGCTCATCTAGTCTGAATAACTTTTTAACAGTGATAGTTTTTTTCTTGTCTGGGTCAACTCTTAGAGCTTCCTTCAGTCTATTACAGGAGCCAGGCATAGCCTCATCTTCTTGCAAAAAAGAAAGAAAAGAAAAGAAGGCTGCATGTCCTACTGATGAAATTGCCCATTTCACGTGGATGCTAAATTTGCATGGGAAAAACAGGAAGAACTCCACAGGATCATAAAATGAAAATGCCACATAGAAGGAAATGCCATTACCCTAAACAGCACCAAGTTTGCATCCTGAAGGTCCCAATCTAAGTCTTTCCTCTTCCCTGCAAATCTAGGATCATTGTAAATTATTTAGTTTGGAAGTCATGAATAAAATAACCTAATATGGTTTAAGGGGGGTTATTAGAAATAAAAGGAAAGTATGATTCAATCAGATGCAGTTTCATTACATTTTTCTTAATATTTTGATGCTCTTCTCCTTGAAAGATTGATTTATAATTACTGAGTGGGCAACAAGCTCACTAGGACCCAATTTTTCTCTGCTTTTAATAACACTATTGGAATGGTTCCATTCTATACGCCTCACTACTGAGAGTGAAAGAGCTTTTTTCCATATAAGGTGCAAAAAAAATGGACCTTGTTGTGAGTGGATTTTAGATTCTTGCTCCCAGATGCTCTCCAGAGAGATTAATGCCTACAGAACTAAGCTTGGATAGCCTTCTTCTTTCCTGGAAAATATATATATATTAGCTCACTTTTGAAAATGTGGGGCGGCTGAGATCCTTGGTTTTTCCCACCAGAGCTCATATTAACACACCATTATTCTTTTCATAGCATTTTCTGGAATTCATCATGTTTTTATTCTAGGGAGCATTGCAAAAAGAGAGATGGCTGTCTGGATCATGCATGCATTTTTTCCATCTAATACCACCCAGCAGCACAGCAACATGAATCTTGCTGTGAACTTGGAAAAGACCCTTTACCTTTGAGTGATGTGCTGGAGAAATTTGCTGAACTTCTCACGGCTACAGTGCTGAGTGTATCTTAGTTACCATGTGGCCAAGTAGTATGTAAATTGGTTGCTTGTCTGATTCCCCAGTTACCTCTTAGCTATATGAATTTACTTGGCTTTATACTTGCACTCAGCACATGCAGCCGTGGGAGACATTGAGTAATGGAATAATTGTCAGGGCAAATAATGACAACAAGAACAAGAATAACAATAAGAACCCTGCCTTCGTTGCATTTTATAGGAACAAAACTAAAAATTTTAAACCTAAAGAAGCAAAATACTGTGAAGTAAAAAAAGAAAGAAAAGAAAGTTGTTTTGAGGAGGAGAAAATTTTCAGGAACATGGAAGATGGCTTTCTGCAGGATTTCTGCTTGATTTAATCAAGCTCAAGATTCAAGAGAAAAAGAGAGTGTATTGTACATACAAATATTGGAAGACTGATTTCCTTTCCCACTCAATGTGTATTTTAAATTGTTCTCCATTTTTTGGGAAAAGGCCATAAATTGAACTAGGGCTATCATATCTAAGTTGTAAGAGCTGGATCACCACTAGATAGCAGTAAAGACATGCATAAAACTCTAATTCTTTGCTGCCACTTTCTGGCTGTCTGGATTTTTCCAGTCTAAATCTGGTAGCACATATAGAACAGGAATTCTGTTGCTTGGTTTTTTTTATTTGTTTGTTTTGTTGTTGTTCTTTCTGCTGCACATACACCAAAATCTGAAAAACAAAGCTTTCACCATTAGTGCAGTCCAGTGAAAGCAATTGGAAGCCAGGAAAAATTGGAGAAAGTACATAGAATTAATTTCCATAGCAGCAATCTATCTGCAAGGCTGTCCCAAAGGTGCTTTTTCAAAAGGCAACTGGACATTCTTGTTTTTCTTTGAAGATGTTTAGTTTCTCATCCAAGAAGATTCTTCAGTTCTGACTGGATGGTGGGGAATGGAAAGATTTATATTCCTTGCAGACTAGCTGGTCATTTACATTCTTTTAGAAAGTCTTTGAGGACACTTGAGGATTTGTCTGAGTCCTCAGAGTCACCTGAGTAGTGCAAATGGGTCTGGAGCCTTCTTGGAACTCCTGTTGTGGAATTATGCTTTCTGTAGGATGTTTTCTGCTCTGTGTCTCTGTATCTGTATTTCAAACTGAATTGCATATGGTTCCTGTAGCCTACAATTTTGGAAGAAATCTGTTCATACTCCTGTACCATTTGAAGTGTATTCATCTCAAAGTGTATACCTAAATGTCTAGGGCGATTCTTATCATCCAGATCATGGTTGTCCCAAAGGTGCTTTTTCAAGAGTGGCTGGATTTTTTTTGTTTTTCTTTTGAAGAAAAATTGCAAACTACAGGAACCATTTGCACTTCAGTTTGAGATGCAAGACAACACAGACTCATCCCCAACAGTCTGCACCTGTGTATTCAACAATGAAGAGACACCAGGCAGAAAACATCCTGCAGAAAGAACACGTCCACCACATAGTCCTTTCAGCAGTTCCAAGAAGGTTCCACAACCATTTGCACTATTCTGGTGACCATGAGAATGCAGGAAAATCTCTAAGTGGCCTCAATGACTCTCTAAAAGAATGCAAAAGACCAACTGTTTTCAAGCAATATAAATCCTTCCCAGTGCTGGGTTTCCAATTTTTTTTACTACTGGTTTGCTCATGCGGCGGCCTCCTGGGGCCGCCACCACCAATTTGCCCAATCCAGGCCAAACCGGAGAAACTCACCTTTGATCCTTCCATTCCCCACCATCCAGTCAGAGCTGAAGAAGCTTCTTAGATGAAAAGCAAAACATCTTCAAAGAAAAACAAGAAAGTATAGTTGGCTCTTGAAAAAGCACCTTGGGGACAACCATGACCTGGATGACTGAGAATCTCCATAGACATCTGAAAGGCTGTGGATTTCCAATATTGTTGGATTTCACTTTCCATATTACTCCAGCCAGACATGTCTTCAAATTACAGCATCAATGTGAATCAATTAATATAAAAGAGGTTTGCACTTTCAAATAAAACTATTTCCAACTAATCATTCATCTTGTACAAGGAAACTCAGTCTCAGGTCTTGCCAATAGAAAAACCTGATTCTAAAAGGCGCATTTACTGAATGCCAACCTATGGACTAAATCCCCAGATGAATCTCAGGACTGACTGTCTGTTCACAAGATCTGTTATGGTAACATCAGTCAAGGTCTCATTTGTTTGCTCATCCTGATATCATCTTGATATGTATAATAATATCCTTCTTCTGCCACTGTAAGAACAAGCAGATCAATTCCTATGAAACAGAACACATGGATATAAATCTGATTCCAGTTACAGTAATATTTGAAATCTATTGAAGATTATCTCAATTATTCAAGGCATTCAGGTCTCTTAGAATTGGAGAACAGAGAGAACAGGATGAGGCGGTAAGAGTGCTATAATATGTCATGAAAAGGCAAGAATACCAGCTGTGAATGTTTATAGATTTTTAAACAAATCACTTCAATGAATAATTGCTCATCAGGGATAGCAGTTCTGTTTCCTGTTCAATTAGTTTTCTATTTGGGGATATTTCCAAAATGAAGGCTGATATTAAACAGCAAAATCTATTCTCCCAAGCTCTGTTTCCTCATTTTGTTTGCATGCAGGTGAGCCCAGGTCTCCATAAATTTTCAAAGTGAGACTCCCATACGTAATTCCTCCTATGAGCCAAATCAATTAGGTTTAATTCAGGCAATTCAAGGTGTGAATTTATTTTCTGCTACAAATGCCAAGAAATATATTATCAACAGTTTACTATAGTTATAACATCCCTAAAGTTATTTGAAGCAGTTAAGTTTACATCATGAATTAATTATATTTACATTCACCCATAGAAAAGTAAAATATTTTAAAATGAAAAATGTAGTTTTAGCCTCTGTGTGTGTGTGTGTGTGTGTGTGTGTGTGTGTGTGTGTTACAACTGGAATAACCTTAGAAAGAATATTCTTCCTATAGTGATGGCAAACCTATGGCATGTGTGCCTGAAGTGGCACATGGAGCGATGTTGCCTGGCATGCATGGTATCACCCGTTCCTCTCCTGGGTTTCTGGTGCGCATGCGCATGTGGCAATCAGCTGGCACTTGTGCATGCAGCAGTGGTCTTCTATT